TACAGCCAGTTTCTTATTAATTTTCCTATCTCTAATACCAAGTACAGCGCCCGACATATAGTAAGGGCTCAATAAGTATTCAATGGATTGAACTGATTGCCTTAGTTTCTAAGTCGGTGCTGAGGGTGATTGAGAAAGAAGCACGCCGATAATCAGGGATAAGATCAGAATTAAATTAAGATGTGGCCGATAATAGCTAAGCATTAGTGAGAATGCTTACCCATGTGTTACTGTCTTCCAAAAAATTATCTAATTTAATAAGTAAGCCTTCACATCTTTAGCTTTTCCACGAAAAGTAATATATTGTTGGTACTGTTCTCATTAGCCTGGTTATGAATAACTGGGAAGGAACAAAGCGAAGGTAAAATATCGCAGGCATGCTATTTGTGCAATTTATCACCCTCCAGGGGGCCCCGGTCTATTCCCCACAGATTGATGGAGGAAGGGACCGGACAGAAGAATAGACGCATGCCCAGTAAAGTCTAGCTGAACAGGGAAGGTGTTCCCTGTCAGTCACACCTGGGACCAGGTCATTGACCAGAATGGGCATGGCCACTACAAGTATAGGAAGATTCGAGATATTTAATGTCCTAACCAAGGAGTTTGCTCTCTTGCCCTCCTGTGCTCCTGGTTCCTCAGGGGCCCTCACCCTCCTGCTCTCCTGCATTTACCCACATGGCTCAGGGCATGGGGACCCCACAGAGTGGACCCATGGACTGCAACCAGCCTGATGCTGCACGGGACCCCGCTCCACCATGGAACGGAAACTTCGGACGCTGGCTCTGCTTCTAGCGCTGCTGGCTCCCCAGCTGCACATCATTCAGGGCTGAATGCAGGGAAATGGGACGTTGGAGTCCCAGAGATGTGATTCCATGCAAATAAAAAGCGCTCATCCTCCCGTGCGAGTCTCAGAAAATTCTTTTTTCTCCAGATATCGTAAGGACCCCGCCCCCAAGCACTCGGTGGGGAAAGGGATCCCCCACTTTCACCGATCACATTGTGACTAATATTTGAGGAACATACTTGTCAGGTGTGTAGGTTTGCATTGAAGTCTCCATAGACATCGCAAACACATATACATACTTATACCCAAACACCTTCTAGTTCATTCGGGGAGAAAATGGGATTCTGATGGCCTACCTTGAATCAAGTAAAAATGCCTTAGAGAAAAGGAAATTCTTTAAACAAGAAAGAAAGAAAGAAATAGAAAGGCACTTTCTAATGAGGCAGAACTAAAATGAGCTAGTTGAGACAATCCAGGCTGAATCCTGAAGGGTAGAGTAAGCAAAGGGAGGGAGCAAATCCTGGTCACCGGACCGCTTCCCAACTCAGGTGCCCAGTTCCTGAACAGCGATACCCAACCAACCGGCCAGCGCCAGGGACACAAGTCGGCGGGCCCCTCAGTGTTTCCGGGGTGCACATTTGCCCTTCTTGGCTAAGCCCCGCTGAATCTGGGCTGTGTTTATTTCTAGTAATGATGAGAGTTCCTGAATCACTTCAAGCCAGCTGCGGGAAAAGAAGAACTCATCAAGCAGGAGGGAGCCGGAGATTGCCTTATCAAATTGGCAAGGACTTTCATTGTTTTTTTTTTGTTTATGTTTTTGTTTTTTGCTGGAGCTCTTCAATTCAAGGCTAGTTCTCACGGTCCAGGAGCCCTGTTTGTTACTCACTGACACTCTGCAGAAAAGATAGGGTGCTGGGGCAATTTTGCCCCATTGTACCTCTTTGGTTAGCATCACAATCTCCTCATTAACCTGTTAAGACTAGCCTCTTCAGGGGTGGGCAAACTTTTTGACTGGAGGGCCACAATGGGTTCTTAAACTGGACGGGAGGGCCAGGAGGGCCGGAACAAAAGCATGGATGGAGTGTTTGTGTGAACTAATATAAATTCAAAGTAAACATCATTACATAAAAGGGTACGGTCTTTTTTTTTTTAGTTTTATTCATTTTTCCTCGATCAGGCCTGCGATCCGGCCTACGGGCCGTAGTTTGCCCACGACTGCCTAGCTGCAGTGAGGGTGGCTTCCTCCAAGCCCAGGCAACCATCATATTCATAAATACAACAGGTTGCTTTTTTAAAAAAAAAGGTCCAGCCATCAAGAGACAAATGTAACCATCTGGAATTTCTGGGTTCTCCACCAATCTAATTACAATGGCATGTAAGGACATGTGTCTGAACCGCCAATCAAGCCGATAGGATATACATCCTATTTACACAGAAGTTTAGCCCCTTGGAAAAGAGGCAGCAATTGGTGATAAAAAACAAGTGAGATCCGGTGTCTCCACCAAGTAAAGTAGCTTAGTTTTACTTGGCGACTATCATACACCTGATCTTATTGTTTTCCTTTAAAAATCTTACATTTTTAATGAAAAGACACATCATGAATGCGCGGCTTGATCAATTTCCTCCTACGGAAGACACACATTCCTGCACCCATCACAGAACACGGCCTGCACCCCTCAAGTCCACCTCTGACTCCTCCCAGGAACTCGCCTCTTTCCTCCCAAGAGGAACCAGGGTGCCAGCTTCCATCTGCAGAGCTTGGTTTTGCCTGCTCGTGTCCGTGATATAAATGGAATCATCATAGGGAAGGTATTTGCTAAATGTCTGTCTGCTTTCCTCACCACAATTTGTGAGATTCACACAGAGTGCTGGGTTGTTTTCTGATTGCTGGGTCGTATTGTTACAGAATTTACCAGGCGACGGAAGAACACACAGAGGTACTTGGAGGCACAGGAAAAACCCATTTATTTTCAGATGTCTTGCATGTACCAGTGCAGTGGCTCAGGGGAGACTGTTTCTCTCCAAATCCTGAGCAAGTCAATATGGAAGAAGCTTTCCCTTTATACCCTTTGGTTTCTTTGTCCCCCAAATATGGGATGGGACTTCCAGATCTTTCGTGGGCTCCAGGTGTTGGGACGGGGGGAGGGGGGGGGTGGCTGTGAGACCACACCTAAAGGCCTGGCCTGGCACCAGTACTGATAACCCCCTCCGGCGGTTGTTCATGGTTTATGGCCTCTGTAAAATGGGAGTAGTACTTAGGTAAACAGGTCTTGAAAGATCAGATTGTGGAGAAAGGGGCAGTGACTTAATTATAGGCTACCAAGAATGTGCATTAGGTTACTGGCACAGATTCAGATTGCTAGCCCCTTAAAAATGTCTCATTTTCCCCATCAGTATAAATGTGTGGCTATATTTATATACATACACACCACAGTTTGCTGATCGAAATGAGTGGTTTCCTGTTGGGGGCTGCCATTAGCATTCTAGTACCTGCCTTTTGGTGAAATATGTTCACAGGTTCTCAAGTGCATGCGTAGAGTTGTAATGGTGAATCATGTGTTACACACATGTTCAGCTTTTGTAGATACTGCCACAGTTTTCCAAAATTGCCCTAGCAATTCGATATCCCACCAGCATGCCAATGCTAGCTGCCCCAATGAATGCTTCTCACATGAGCTGGACTGGGCAGTATGTTACTTAATCTTCCCAGCAGCCCCCTATTCAGATGAGGAAACCTAGGTTAAGAGAATTGACGAGACAATACAAAGTAGCAGCTCTTCAACCCAGTCCTTGTCCCCTGAGAGCTGAAGCTCTCATTCTCTACTAGAGGCCCAATGCACAAAAATTCATGCAAGAGTAGGCCTTCCTTCCCCCAGCTGCCAGCACCAGCTTCTCTCCAGCAACTGGGACCCTGGCTGACTTCCCTCCTGTCACAGCTTTGTCAGGAAGGATGTCTGGAATAATGTTCCGAAGACATCCTGCCTAATTAGCATATTACCCTTTTATTATTAGAGATGCTTATTGCTGGGGGAAGTGAAGCTCTTATGGAGTCCCCAGAAAAGGCATTTTCAGGGACCCACAAGGGAGGAAGGATGCTGCATGGCTACTACTGGCCAGTGGTTGTGAGTGGAAGCCATACATCTCTTCTGAGATGGAAAATCCCACTGCTGATGCAAGCCTCCCCACAGCTCTCTCACCTCTGTCTGCTTTGCCAGCCTGAGTCCTAGAGTGAGGAGACACGGAGGAGAGCTCGCAGTGGGCCTACTGCGGGCAAATAACATAAACAGGAAGGGAAAATATTGAAGTCATGAGCCACTAAGATTTGGCAGGTGGGAGGACTTGTTACCTAGCATAACTGCACCCATTCTAACCACTACAAGAAGAATGTTTAGCTTTGTAAATGTAGGCATAACCTATATTTATCAACTCCCCAATTTTATCTGTTGGCTGATCCTGAGCCCTGGACTCCAGACCCATGTATCCTACTGTTTTCTCTAAGTCTTCTCAGAAAATTAATCTACAACTCAAACTGTGCAAATGAAATTTCTGATTTCCCCTCACCCCAAACTTGGGCCACCCATAATTTTCCATACCTCAATTAATAGCAGCAACTGAGTCCCATGGCTCAGGCTTACAGCCAGGGAAATTTTATTGTCTCTTCTCTTTCTCTCATACCCCACATTGAATCCATCAGCAAATCATGCATGCTGACTTTACTTTGATATATTCTTTAATTTTTTTGAATAAATGAAATGCTTCTGATTCTATTGAAATGCATACATGTGTTTCTTCGATGCTTTAAAATTTTTTTATTTGATCTTTAGAGAGAGAGGAATAGAGAGAGGCATCTTTTTAAAATATATTTTTATTGATTTCAGCAAGAAAGGGAGAGGCAGAGAGGGCTGGAAACATCAATGATAAGAGAGGATCATTGATTGGCTGCCTCCTGAACACACCCCACTGGGATAGAACCCTGAACCCGGGCATGTGCCCTGACTGGGAATCAAACTAGTGACCTCTTGGTTCATGGATTGACAATCAACCACTGGGCCACACCAGCTGGGCTATTTCTTCTATGTTTTAGAAAATAAAAACCTTAAAATTTTGCAAGAAATATGAGGCACCTGCAGTGTGGTGGCACAAAGCGAGGTGCTAAGCAAACAAAGGCTTAGGGAGAATCCTGTTTCCTCATGGGCTGATGGATTCAGGTTCGTAGTCACTGGTGGACTTTCTGGTGCTGCTTCAAGTGATCATTTCGTGCAAAACGCCTGCCGCACAGAGCACACGGGTAGGGTCGCTCCCCAGTGTGCTTTCTGTTGTGTCTCTTGAGCTCATCTGAACGGGTGAATTCCCATGTGCATCCGTTCGCATTGCATTTGTAGGGCCTCTCTCCTGTGTGTCTGCGAGTATGGATTTTGAGAGAGCAATAATTTGAATATGATTCCTTACAGTCCTGGTATGTGCAACGGTAGGGCTTTAAACAGTCACGATTCTTCGGGAACCGACGTCTCTTGGTTTTGAGTTCTGACTTCTGCTCTCCTAGGGATTGTCCTTGGGTCAAATGGGAACTTAAACAGTCCTGGAATCCTAGGTATGGCAATGATGGCGATTGACATGGCATCATATGGCTTCCAGAGAGAGTGTGGTCATCAGTGTAGGCTCTCATCTGGTCCCCCTTAAGCATCCCCATCGGACCCCCATAGAGAGTCTTGTCACTGCCATATGTTATCACCTGGCCCCCAGTGACGGTGTGGTTGCCAATGAAGGTCACTGGATAGTCCCGTTTAAGAGCTGTCATCTCGCTTCCATAACGGGTCTGGTCCCCACTAAAGGTCATCTGGCCTCCATAGTGGGTCTGGTCCCTACTGAAGGTCATCTGGCCTCCATAGTGGGTCTGATCCCCACCAAAAGTCATGTGGCTTCCATAATGGTTCTGGTCCCAACCAAAAGTCATCTGGCTTCCATAACGGGTCTGTTTCCCACCAAAAGTCATGTGGCCTCCAAAACGGGTCTGTTCCCCAACAAAGGTCATCTGGCCTCCATCACGGGTCTGGTCCAAACCAAAGGTCATCTGGCCTCCATCGACAGTCTGTTCATCACTGAGGGTCTTCATCTGGCTGCCTTCTTTGGAGATTGTCATGTTGTTTGCAGTGATGGTTGTCCTGTGGCAATCAGTGAACAATGTCTTTGGGTTGTCAGTACCACCTATCATCCAGGAGGTTGCTGTGGGTTTTCCCTGATCAAAGGAGGTCGCCATCTGGTCCACAGAGACAGTCTCATTTAGTTCTCCAAGGGGCTTATCGAAGGCATTAACAGGGAGAGTTATTGAGTTCTGGTCAAGGACTGTCCCAGGGATATTAGAACATGCAGAAACTGTCATTGTGGGCGTCAAAGGAGCCATCACCTGGTTCTGAATGGACTCATGCTGGCTCTCGTCACCGCGGGCAGTCACAGGCATGCAGATCTGGGGCTCTGGTGCAGCTGGAGCTGTTGGCGCAAGTGTCTCACAGAATTCCCGGAGGAACTCGGCAATTTCCGCAGATAAAGGGCGAGTATCTTGGCAGTTGCCGGATAATTGAACTAGATCTTCAGCTTTGGGATCCATCAGTTCATCGGGCGCGGTCAGGAGCCACTGTGTCTGGAGGTAATGAGGTCGGCTGACACGTAGTTGCTCCGTGCAGGGCCTGGCACTTATGGCGCTGCAGGCAGATGCTGTTGGGCATTTATGGAGCAGCAGCCAGGTGCGCTGAGTGCCTATTGGCGCCTTCGCTTGCCACGCCCTCTGGGGCGGAGCCTAGGGCTTAGGCTGTAATCCGCTCTCGGGACATGGATGAATGATGGCCTGAGGTCGCTGTCACAGTCCTTCCCCGTGTTCCCACCGTCAGGGGAAGCATTGGACAGGGATTAGCCCACCTCTTCCTCCGCACCGGTCTACCCGGTGGACTCTGTGTCAGTCATCGGACGATGCAGAAACAGGCCCACAGAGGGCCATCGGCCTGAGTTTTAAACACACGCCACACCTCAACAGCAAATCAAGCAGTCATGCTACGGCTGCGAGTTACTGAATTACTTCTATGCCGAAGTCTTATCAGGTCGCCTAGAAATGGAAATCGAATTTCTTTTTTTGGTGCCCTTTGATATATTTTTTATATTTTCAAAATATATCCAGAATCTGACCCCTCCTTTGCTTATGAAATTCTCAATAATGTGGCCTCTTGAAAAGTGTATTCTTCTAGATATTAAGCATTGTTACCACCTTTTCTTTGAATTTTTCTTACCTCACCCCCTCTCACCCTGCCCTTACCTACTGCCATGACATTATATTGCCTAGGGCTCTCCTATGCTTTTCTTTCTTTGTAATTCGCTGGCCACTGCCTTCCCCCTCTCTTTCACTTCCTGATCTTCTTGCTAGTCTATTTCCATGAGGAAATCAGCACTTCTTGTGGCTTTAATTTTCCTTTTTATCCACATTTCACAAAATGTATGTATAGCGGCAATGATGGTACCAGGAATGGTTTTAGGAGGCATATTTATGAATACTTCTATTTTGACAGTTATGATCTTATTTTAATGTACATTACCATAGACAAACTATAACTAACACATAAAACCTGAGATTTCACGGATACTGTTGCTTAAATGAAGCCACACGAATCAGTTTAAGTCAAATTAAAGTAAAATATTAAATAAAGATACTATCGGAGGTATAAAATAGGGGAGAATGTAATTCATACATAAGTATGGACCTTCCAATATGATTAAGTATGGACCTTCAAACTATAAATGCAGTTACTCAATGAGCGAATACTTCTGATGCCCACCCAGAGAGGTCCATGTGGATGTTCCACCGACCCTCAAAATTAATAAAGAGATCTCAAGTGGATTCTCCCCCTAAAACCAGTGACTTGGTTTATTCAATGATGCCGCTATTTCAATAGGCCAAGCCAACAACTGGGCATCACCTGTTACTCAGCTCTCTCTTTTGTCCCCTTGATTGGCTAGATTTTTAAATTCTGAAGTGACTGTCACACATTTACTCTTTCCCTTTTATCCTCATTCATATCATTCCAAGCCATGACCCAATTACCTCATACCCAGATCATCGCAATGACCTCCAAAATCTCCTGTCTCTGTCTGAGTTCAATGGCACTCTGCTATTGCTTAAAAACCATCCATCCCGTGTTCGCAACATTCGGTAGCCTCCCCGGAAGGCAATGGCTGAGATTCCTTATGCCCTGCTAATCGTGACTAACATTTATTGAATTTTTGTGCTAGAAGCCACACAGGATTTTTTTTCTTTTCTTTGATTTATTGATTGGTTGATTGATTTCAAAGAGGAAAGGAGAGGGAGAGAGACATAGAAACATCAATGATGAGAGAGAATCATTGATCGCTGCCTTCTGCATGTCCCCTACCAGGGATCGAGCCCTCAACCCATGCACTTGCCCTTGACTGGAATCTAACCCAGAACTCTTCAGTCCGCAGGCTGATGCTCTATCCTTTGAGTCAACCCGGCTAGGGAAGAAGTTTTTTTCTTTAACCCACATGGCAATCCTATGTTGAACAATTGGGTTCCTCACAAGATGAGGAAACTAAAGTTTAGAGCAGCCGTGGGCAAACTACGGCCCGTGGGTCGGATCCGGCCCGTTTGAAATGAATAAAACTATTGAAAAAAAAGACCGTACCCTTTTATGTAATGATGTTTACTTTGAATTTATATTAGTTCACACAAACACTCCATCCATGCTTTTGTTCCGGCCCTCCGGTCCAGTTTAAGAACCCATTGTGGCCCTCGAGTCAAAAAGTTTGCCCACCCCTGGTTTAGAGGTTAAGTGAGTGGCTGGCCAAGAGCTGGTAAGTGGCAGAGCCAGAATCCCATCCCAAACAGCCTAAGGCCAACACCTGTTCTCTATACTGCCCCCACCCTGCCTATTGACAAATTTCACATTCCTGCTATTTCTAATTATATGCCATCTTTCTATCTTCTGTTCTATTTCCTTTTCCCCCTCTCACTTAGAGGAGTGTCATGCCTGCATGTACTGAGCCTTGACCTTCTACCCGTCCAACACAGTGCACACCACCTTCTGAAGCAATATCCAAAGTGCACCTCTCCTCTAGGACCCAGCTCAAGTTCAACCCCTTACAGTGTCACCAAAGCCAGAATCTTCACTGTAGCAAATAGATGGCTGTCCTTCCAGATCTAAAACTCATCTGCCCAGGCCTCGAGCTAGGAGGGGAAAAGCTGGCACCCCCACCCTGTGAACAGGAAGGGCCTTCATCTCCAAATGAAGACCATTTCAAAGTAATACAAATGGACACAGTTCAGGGCACTGCTTTTTGGCTTTGTATGTGCACAGGGCCTTTTCAGATCCCCATTCTTTGTGTATAATAGACACTTCGGAATTATAAAAACACAGGCTGATTCAAATGCGCCAGCCTTTCAGAGGACAGAGTCAGAACCCAAGGGGGACCATGTGGTTCAACAGGATATTTTTGGCTCTTTTTGGTTGGTCATTCCTTAAGTTGTTGTTCAGAGAGAAGCAGGAAAAGAAATAAAAAGGGTACACACAAATGTCTCTTCTGTTCTTCCTCCTCCTCCTCCTCCTCCTCCTCCTTCTGTTCTTTTGTATAATAAAAGGCCACAGAAAAAGACCTAGGATTAGAAACAAACAGACATCATCTGGCCCACCCCCTTCATTTCAAAGATGACAAAAGGAAGGCTTTGGCAGGCAAGGTGATGCACAGATAACTAGTGGCAGGTCTAGGATTGCAACCCAGGACTTGGAGTCCCAGCAAAGTGTTCACATCCTGGCTCTGTTTAGTAGATTATAACCTTATAAACATGAACAAGCCACTCTTTCTGGGATTCAGTTTTCTTCATTCTGCAAGGAGGGTCATGTTAATAATTGCATCTATTTTGAAGGATATTGCTTTGAAAGTCAAAAAGCAGTCCCTTGAACTGTGTCCATTTGCATCTATTTACGATTCTTAATAAGATTGAAATGAAGGATTGTGATAAGAATCGAATAAAATCAAATAAAATAAGTAGTGAAACAAGCATCTAATGTAATAGTTGCTCAATAGACATCCACTCACTCAAACGGTTACGTCAGCTGACATCTAAAGAATCTAAGAGAGACATATTTTAAGAAGATGACTAAAACGTTGAATATCTAATCACACAACATGTCTGAAGATCTGAGAGAGCCTTGAAACCAGAGTGGGAAGCAGGGAGGAGCAGGGAAGGCGGAGATGTTTAATGTGAAGGTGTCCCCGTTGTTTGTTTTTTAAAGGAAAACGTGTGTGTCAGCTGGGTGACTCATGAAACACTAATTAAATTCTTTTATTCTTTTTTATCCCTGTTAAACAAACAAAGCACTTTTCGCAATGCCAGGCTTTCTGGAGACCCAAGAAAACAATTGCCTCAGGCTACCATTAATTACTTTAAAAACTAGGTTTAAGTTTAGTTTTGCTTTATTTTCCAAGATGTTAAGTGTGGGGGGGGGGGAGGCGGGGCGGGGGGAGGCGGGGGGGGGGGGGGCGGGGGGGAGGAGGAGGGAGGTGGTGACACCTGCTCCAGAGGAGTAGAGGCACAGCTGAGGGAGTTGCTGGGATCCTTGCACACTGTCTGAATTTGAGATCTCATCTCCACCCCAAGTCTCTGTTTAGCCCAGGGTGAGTTCTATGCCTGGTCCCCAGACTGTGATGTCACACCCCAGCTCTGCCCTTGACCTTCTGGAGGCTCTCAGGGGAAGCAGTTTCTCTGGGTGCCTCTTTCTGCCCTTGTCTGTTTGCTGTGGAGACTATAAGACTCAGACAGGGGCTGTGAGTGCTGATATGAAATGATCAGGATAATGCTGATCTTGTAAAAGTTGTGAGTCTTTAAGTTATGACAAATGTATATGCATAAAAGTACAGAGAACTACTTAACCCTTATCCATGTACCATCCAGATGTGATGCATATTGTGTTATTTTTTGTCCTAACTGCTTTAGAAGAGAATTCAAAGCAAAAATGTACAGATGTAACTGAACCCCCATAACCCTCTGCAAAGACAATCACCCTCCTGAAGTTGAATTTTATCTTTATATTTAAATTGTTTGCATTTTTCCTGTTTATGTATCCCCAATGTGTACTTTTGTTTTTTCTTAAATTTTATCTCCATATCATCACATATTTTCATAATTTGTCCTTTCACTCGACATCATGTTTTTGAAATTTACATATGTTGATACGTTTAAATCCAGTTTATTTTGTTTTAACTATTAGAAAAAAAAAATTGGATTGTATGGACTACATACTATCCATTATGTTAGTGATGGGCATTTAGCTCATTTCCAAGTTTTTACGATTGTTAATAAGACGGAAGTGAACATCCGTGGTCAGATCTGTGTGTGTACATGTGCAGAATTTCCCCTCAGATGCATGGCTAGAAGTCAATTCCTGGATCCTTGGGCATGTATCTCTTCAGTGTCACCAGATATTGGCAAATTATTCTCCAAGGAGTCTGCACTAATTTACACTCCTTTGTCCAGTTATGACAATTTCTGTTTCTTCTTCAATGCTTGAAATTAGGAGACTTTTATGTTTTTTTCCTGATTGATAG